CCATCTCTCTTTCAACTCTTCGGCCAAGCCTGTGACGAAAGCGCCTAGAGAGACTCTAACACAAGCAGTCTCTGGGCAGCTAGCTAGGCGCTGGCCAGCAACCTCTGCCATGGAGACATGTGGAGTGGGAGTTTTTGTTTCGCTCGCACGCTCACCTCCGCGTGCTCCTGGGTTAGGGGCATTTGCCTTTTGCTGCCCCAGATGCAGCGTGATTAGGCCTATTGTATTTCGAGCAAAATTCGATGATGTGCCCGGGATCTCCACGGAACACGCATTGGAATTTGTCCATGCGATCGTGCCAGACGTTTTGATCCAAGCCTAGGGTCTCCCAGGGTCTACCTTCCGGCCGTCCTGGGTGCCATCCACCCCTTTTGGGAGGTGATCGACTAGAGCTAGGGCGGTTAGACGGGGGACCTTCACCCCTACCTCCCTCTTGGCGGTCTCTGATGCCGCCAGCCCCCTGGCCACCTGGCCCTCGACCACCTGAGGCCTGGCGACCTCTGCCACGGCCTCGTCTCCTCCTTGCAGCCTCCCTCCGGTCGCGACAACAGCGTAAGAACTCCCTTTCTCTATACTATTGTCCTCCTCCTCAAGTCCCCATTCAATGTCAGTGTAGGGAACTTCCTCTGCACCACCTTCCTCCATAGTCAGTATAAGACTATCTTTGGCCTTGACTTGGTCGGAGATGGTGCGACCCTTCCACTTTTTCCCCTTTGCTAAGTCCTTGCGCCAGAAAGTGATAACTGGCATGGACTGGGCGACAAAAGCAAGAACTTCTCTATTGAGGGTATCGTAAGTCATTCCACGTTGTTGCTTCTTGTTAAAAAAGTTCCCTTGCAATTGCTCGAGCAACGCGCGATAGAAGAGTTGGACTAGCTGTGCTTTTGTAACTCCATGGCCCGGCACAACAATCAGTTTGTCCATAGCGGCTTCAAGTGCATGCGCACTCCTCCACGGCTGCGTATAGATCATTTGGAGCTTATCGGACGCCTTCAATCCTCTAGTGACGTCCGCAAAGCGTTTTCGCAATGCAACAAAGAAATCGTTAGGGTAGGTAACAACAAAACATGCGACCATGTCATTTTCGGAATGGGCAGCGCGTTCAAGTGACCTAGCGAAACTGGTCGCTTCGTCCCTTAAAGCTTGAAAAACTATCAGGACATGGTTTTCGGGAGGTACGTCTTGTAAATACAGAGACGACTTTATGCTAGCCTCCCAGTTGTCGAAGTCTTCACCCTTTTCCCCACTGTAGGGTTCAGGGAGAAAACAAACTTTGACTCTTTCTCGACAGGGTCGAGCCTCCTCTTCTTTGGGCGGCGCTATCTTAACACCCTTAATTGCACCGATACAAAACTTTTCTGTCCTACTGATTGCGGTGCGCATCTCGTTGGTTAGATGAATCATCATCTCCTGGGCAAAGTCTTGGAAACCAGCCCGTATTGACTCAAGGGCTATATCGTGCCCATGAATATGTCTTATATGTTCTTGTTGAGTCTCTAGAACAGAAGCCATACTGTGGGAAAGGGTGTCAATTCTTTTCCCTATCTTTGTACCTTCCCCCAACTTACAAAGCCACTCTTCTGCTGCCTTTAACCCCTCCTCCATCTTATCCGCCATTTCCAGGCGCCTCGACTTCTTCTTCGTCAGGCGCAACTTCGACTCCAACTGCTTTTCCTGCTCCTTTGTTTGTCGTTGCAGGGGACTCGTTTCTCTCTCCAACTCCCTGACTTCTTCTCTTTCGGCCTGGGGAACCATCAATTCTTCCTCTTTGCCTTCCCCTAGGGATAGTCCTGCCACCCTGTTCTTTACTATATGGTCTGGTCTGGAGTCCGGACTGTGTAGTCACTGCGCAGGCAAGTTGTCCTCCAGTATCCTACCGGGAAGAGGAGACGAAGGCGAACATACAGTAGTCATCCATGTTGGACAGGGGCACAATCGCAATCGATTCCGCTTCTCAACACTTATTACCACCTAGACACTGACTCTCTAGGGGACTACAGAGGTCCTCTCTCCCACCTTAGCCAGGCTACCACTACCGTCGGATGCTTTCACAACCTCGGTCCAATCTCTCCACAACCGTCGGGTGGCCATGCACCCACAGTCCAATCTTGCCTGGCTTTGGCTTCAAATTGGTCCTCTGTCAACTACTCGATACTAGTCTCCTTACTAGTTTGTCACTACAAAACTGCTGGCTGATCAGGAGGCATTTAAGGAGATCCCCCGTAGCTCCTCATGAATTGTTTAACGTTGCAGTCAGGACGGCGATCACAGCCAAAGTTCTCCCAAGACTTAGACAGACTGGATGCGCGATCTGCAGCTCAGAGTTCAGGTATAGTGTACCACCCAGAGAAGCTTGTCGGTCTATATCAGTCCTTGGGGTATTTTCCCAGGTCGTCCGGCGTCAGAAACACCTCATCCCTACTAAGTCCCATGCAGATATTGGCCCCTCAGCCTCTATCAGACCACATCCATGGAACCTACAACAACCTGGACAGGAGTGAATCAATGCAGAAAGAGATGACATACTCTACAAGTCAGACTTGACTGCAGCAAGTACCAAGCTGAGTGTGCAACATCCACATAGCATAAAAGGACAAGGGTCAGGGCTTGAAGAGATTGAACTGCTTTCGCTCCACACTCCAAGCTTGGTCAACGGTCAACTCAGTCAACTGTGTCGGTGAACGCTCGCCGTTCAACGCTCACTGGTCAACTCTCCGGTCAACACCGATCAGCGTCGGTCAATGCTCCGGTCAACGTTCTGACGACCCGACTATGGAGGCTTCCTCTCCCTTTGTCACCTTCAGCAACTTCGCCCTCTTCTTCTTCGTCCTCAAGCTCGGCTATGGCCGTCTTCTTCTTCTTCGACGTCGGCTATAACTGCTATCACCTTCTTCCTCGTCACCTCTCTCCTCTCCCGTCACTTTCTTCTTCTTCTCCAAGCTGGCAGCTGTGGCTAACGTCTGCTATGGCGGCCTTCTTCCTTCACACGTGTCGCTCTCTCATCATCATCACCATCTCCTTCTTCGCGTCAGTCAGCTCCTTCCTTCTCTTCAACCTCCGTGATGCTTGCGCAGACAACATGAACCGGCTCTGATACCACTGCAATCAGACTCGTCTTCACCTCACGATCAACATGCATACATGCAGGTGGCGATGGCAACAGAAACTTCCACAGACGCAGAATCAGCAACAGACTTGAGATGGCGCAGCGCGCCCACACAGAAACTCAGAGATATTGCCTTCGGCCAGGAACTCCGCTCAAAACAACTTGTCACATCTCATGGCTATGGCGTCTGAGCGCCAATCTGGAATTCCCATCCGAACACTGTATCCACCATCAGACACACTCCCACGCCTGTACGCACACAACACTTGGATCTACACTGAATGTCTGCACTCACTCTCACACACTACACATAGGCGGCTATGGCTGCTGTTGTCTTCCTCCTCCTAGAGGCTATAGCCACTCGCCCTCTTCCACCTTCGGGCTGCTTGCTGACCACCGGTGAACTCAACGCACAAGTCACTCAAGGAGCGCTTCCACATAGTTCTCCAGATAATAAGTGAATGACTGATCGCTGCCTCTTTATTTATACTGTTTCGTTTGGTGGTCTGGGCCTGCCGATGTCCCAGGCCCTCGTGAATGTGCAGTCCCCACTCTGGTACTTGCTGCAAAAACGGACTGGACTGGGACTGCCCTTTCGTTTGCCCTTTTGGTGCTTGGCTTGGGACTCTTGACCTTTCAGAGATCGACGGACTGCCCTTTCAGCCTGCGAGAGGTCAAGTTGACTCTTCGAGGACTGTTCTAGTCACGACCTAGTCCTTTCAGAGGACTTACAGACGACCCTTAGGACTCCTAAACATCTAACCTATGGATCAAGTCCACACAACCCAGGCTACACACACAAAACATTTGTACACGGTTTTAGGGACAGGTCGTGGATTCGAAACAGACAGGGTCAACGGACAACTGTACAATGGGCTAGGGTAGGTCTGGGGATCGAGTCCTGGTATCTGCAAATGTTGCAAGAACTGGGTGAAACCCTTTCAAAATTCTGCCTTGTTTTTTTTCCTCCCCAAAAGCAAGGAAAACACGACCACGATGATCGTTTTCAGTTTTCTTTTTTTCTCCGTTATGGACAAAGCCCAACCACCCCTCCTGACAACTGTGCCAGATACACCATGACTGTACCAGACCAAAAGAATAGCTTATGCATTCACGACTCAAGCCGGAGTCCCGGAATTCAGGTCAGCCCGGACCAAGAATGCCAGGCACACTGAGAAGGCACTGGCTATATACCTGTCTCTTA